CTGGGGTTTTGCCGCTATTTTATTTGTAATATTTATGTATTTCGGATGTGATATATAAGGGATAAACCGCTATTTGTTACACAACTATAGTTTATATCAATTGAACGTATGTTTGATTGTATTTATATACTGTCACACCTTTTGTGCAATTATTAAAGTTTTGTTGATTTTAATTTTAATCATAAATATAATATAAAATTTTATTTTATAAATAAACAAATAAAAATAATTACAATTAAATTAAAAATAATTAAAATATCTAAATTTATTTACGTAACTATAAAAATTAATAAAATAGATAAGAACTTATATAACAACAGATATAGACACTGCTTCAAAAGTACAGTGCATTCAAATTGCATTATTCAATGATCAGATGTACTGAATATATATACTTAAATATATACTTAAAATTATGCTTTCAATTCTTTTATCAGACAAATTGAAAGTCTATTCAATACATTAGATAAATTAAAAATATCACACAATTTCAGACAATTTGTGTTATATTTTATTCAAATTTAATAATCCGTTAATAATTCCGTTCATAAACGACAGAAAGGTTGGGGTCTTTGTCGCAGTCTTTGGCTTTTCTTTTGTTGTCCTCATATTGTTTGTTGAAATATACGGTTTTTTGTGATTCAATATTTTGCCACTTTTGCCGAGAATTCATTTTATTGACAGTGTTTTTGGTCTCCGACCCGACATCTGGCAAATCGATGATATTCTTGACCAACACTTTGAAGGGTTTGTCCGACTCTGCAGTTAATTGTTGTCTTTGATTTGGGTTTAACTGTTGGCCTAATTGTTGACTTAATTGTTGGCCTATTTTGCGTTTATGGCTCACATTTGTCGTAATTAATACTTTGGTAATCGTATTGTTTTTACTTATTTTAATAATTCTTGACGTTTGGGTCTGTTTTGGATCAGTTGTGGGCATTTGTTTGCCGGACATTGAGTTTCCACTGTTTGTGGGTTCGCTGTGAAGGCCGATGTCTTGCAATACTTTTGTATCGATTAGATTCAAAATGGATTTCAAATCCACGTTATTCTCGATATATAACTTGTCGTCCGATTCATCGCTTCAAACTCAAAACGCAAATAAGCATCTATAGAAATTGCGCAAAAGTAACTGGTGATTAAAATTAGTGTTTAAATCATATTAAAGTAATTTAACTTAAATTAGTCTCTCTCTCTCTCTCTCTCTCAGAGAGAGAGAGAGAGAATAATTTGTAATAAAATAAAAATAACTATAAATATTTAAATGTAGAAATGTTTTAGTAAAGGAAACATTTAAATTAATTAACAATATTATACCCGAGTTTTCCCTTTGATTGTTGTCAACAAACATATGAATTAAATCTGATTTTCGAAACTTTCTTTCTGACGATTTCGTCGTTTGAATTGTCTTTCGTTGGGATTCGTTATTAGTTATAATTAATGGACGAATAGTTGTCTTATAAAACATAAGTGACTTTTGAAGCGAGGCTTTAGTTAAATTAATATCAATCTCTTTGGAAACCGCTTCTGATTCGACTAAATCGTCGTCCATTTCAGGCAAAGATCCGGGTTTTAATGATTTCAACACAATTTGCGATTTAATGGGTACTTCTCTTGTTGTCATTGATTTAATAATTTTCTCGTTGTCTTCGTGTCCATTAGAGGGAAGAATATCTTCTTCTGAAGTAATTGTTGGCAATATTATCATAGAATTCGCGGAATTAATAGTTGGGTTTTGTGTAGTCTTTGTTGAAATAGATTCAGCGCTTTCCTCGAGGTCTTCGTCTTCATTACGGATAGGAATACCTTCTTCTGTAGTATACGTTAGAAATGGATCCAAAATAGTTGGAAATATTGTTGATATTGTCGTCGGTTTGGAAACAACTTCGGGATCTTCTGTGGAAAGCGGCGGTGAATCCAATGTAATCTCTATTTGTGTCGAAACATTGAACTCATCGTAATTGTCATCAATTGGTGATAAAGTGGACGATAAATCGAAATTCATAAAATCTGTTAAATCTGTGGCAATATTTAAATTTAACGGCAATTCTGTTATATCAGTCATATTTGGCGTAAATGTTAATAAAGTTTCTGCAAAAGTGGGTTCAATGGGAGTAATAGTGGTTTCAATTGATGTTAAGTCGGGAATTGAACTCAAATCCGGGGCTAAAGTGTCGTTCGCATACAAAGGCAATGAATTTGGTGTTAAATTGTCGGAAACCGTATTCATGTGATGGACTACACTCTCAATAACTTTTCTATCGTGAGATTTGTTTTTATAAATTTCATCAAAAATGGTTTTGTCATTCGACGTAATCGTAGTGTCCGTTAATGTTGGGTCCGTTATAATAAAATCAATCGTTGAGTCGATACTAATACTCGAATCGGTGGCCAAAGTATTGGTAGAATTCTGTGAATCTGTTATTATAAAATCGAAATCAGTATTCATTGCATTGTCTTCGGATTTAAAAATTGCATCTGTTTTTCCAAAACGTGGTTCAGTCGGAGTAATAGTCGACTTAATTAGTGTATTGTCGGCAACACTAGAATTATTTTGAAGCATAGGATTTATGAATACAACACTTGATTCAGTCGGTGTAATATTCGGTTCTAGTTTTGAGTTGTCTGTTATTACGAAATCAATGACTGAGTCCATACCTATACTCGAATCGGTAGTTAAAGTACTAATAGAATTCACTGAATCTGTTATTATGAAATCAAAGCCTGTATTCATTGAATTGTCTTCGAAGTTAAGAATTGCATCAGTCTTTCCAAAACTTGGTTCAGTAGAAGTATTAGTCGATTCCATTTGCGGATTGTCTGCATTAGATTTTATTGTTGAGTCAATATTTAGAAACGAATTGTTGTCTAAACTATTGGAAGAATACGTATTGAGTGAATTGGCTGTTATATTATCGAATCCGCTCTCCATTCCAATGCCTTCGAGCGGAAAAATTGCATTATTATTGTCACAAATGGTTTCACTCGGAGTAACAGTCAATTCCATTAAAGGATTGTCTGAAACTATTATTGTGTTGTCTGTAACTTCGGGACTAATGGTTGAGTCCATACTCATACTCGAATCGGTGACAAAAATATTTGAAGAATCAGTATTCAGTGTATTTNTCTGTAACTTCGGGACTAATGGTTGAGTCCATACTCATACTCGAATCGGTGACAAAAATATTTGAAGAATCAGTATTCAGTGTATTTGCTGTTATAGTATCTGAAACCGTATTCATTAAATTATCTTCGAGTTTAACTCGTTTATCAATGTCCCAAAGACTTGGTTCAGTCGATGTAATCATAGTTTCTATTATTGTGTTGTCTGTAACTTCAGAACTGGTGGTTGAGTCTAGACTTATACTCGAATCGTTTGCGAGAATATTCGAAGTGTCAGTACTGTCTGTATTTGTAATAATGTTTTCTAATATTATATTTTCTGTAACTTCGGGACTAATGGTTGAGTCCATACTCATACTCGAATCGGTGACAAAAATATTTGAAGAATCAGTATTCAGTGTATTTGCTGTTATAGTATCTGAAACCGTATTCATTAAATTATCTTAATATTCGAAGTGTCAGTACTGTCTGTATTTGTAATAATGTTTTCTAATATTATATTTTCTGTAACTTCAGAACTGGTGGTTGAGTCTAGACTTATACTCGAAAACGTTACTAAAGTATTTTGTGAATCATTATTCGGTGTATTTGTTGTTATATTATTTGGACGGGTATTCATTTTATTAATATTTAACTTTAGGCTTGTATTCTTGTTTTCAACATTTGGTTTCGTCGAAGTCATCGTTGATTCCATTAATGTGTTATTAATGACACCAGAATTAATTGATGAATCGAGACTTATGCTCGAATCGGTGGCTAAATTATTCTGCGATTTTTTATTGAGTAAATTTGTTGTTTTATTATCGAAACCGGTTTTAAGCTTTTGTATTGCATGAGTTGTCTTAACACTTGCTTCAGTTGGAGTTACTTTAGTTTCCATTTTTGTGTCGTCCGTAACATAAGAATTGAGCGTTGATTTCATACTCGAAGCGGTGGTTAAAGTATTTGCCGCTTTTGTTTTCAATGCATTTGTAGTTATATTATCGGACCGCGTATTCAATTTATTAATTTCTATTTTAAGCATTGCATCAATGTTTCCAACACTTGGTTTAGTCGTTGTAACAGTAGTTTTAAATACTTTGTATTTTGTTACTCCAGAATCTGTGGTTGAGTCGAGACTTATACTCGAAGCGGTGGTTAAAATATTATTAAATTTAGTATTGAGTGAATTTGTTGTTTTATTATTAAACCCGATATTTATTACATTGATTTTGAACTTTAAGATTGCATGAGTCGTTCCAACACTTGGTTCAGTTGGAATAAATTTAGTTTTTATTATTGTGTTGTTTGTAACATAAGAATTAATCGTTGAGTTTTTACTCGAAGCGGTGGTTAAAATATTGGTTGATTCCGTATTGAGTGACTTTGTTGTTGTAATTTTGGAAGCGGTAGTCATTTCATTGACTCCCAGTTTAAGCATTGCATCAATGTTTCCAATACTCGGTTGAGTCGACGTAATCGTAGTTTTTAATGATTTGTTGTTTTTAACACTAGAATTAATTGTTGAGTCGAAACTTCTACTCGAATCGGTGGTTAAAGTTTTGGTCGCATACCTATTGACCAGATTTAGTAGTGGTTTATTAGTTGTAAAACTTTGTACTGTTTTGGTCACTAGATTTGGAATATTCTTTACTTTTATATTAACATTGGATTCTTGAGTCAATGTATTCTGCATTTTAGTTGTCAATGGATTGACTGTTGAAAGCTTTGTTGATATCTTGTTATTGATTTGTGTTGTATTAATACCACTGTATTTATGAGTCATTTCTTTTGTTTCATTTTTAATATTCTTATAACGATTTATAACTGAATTATTATTACTTTTATTTTCATTTAAAAGTTGAGTTATATTTTGAACTAATGTTTTGTTCGCATATTTATTGGAATCCTATTTGAAATTCAAAATATAAGAAATTAAATGAATAAAATTTATCAGAAATTATTTTGTATTATATTTACTTTACTTGATTTTTAACCAATTTATTATCAATTATGACATTATTTGTCTTATTTCTATTCGTTTCCATTTTTTTCTTCCATTTCGCTAAATTATCTTTTGTTAATTTGTCTGAAAATACAATTCACTTATTATTTAACATAGATGTCAAATATTAATTTTATGTTTATAGCGCAGTTAAAATTGGAGTGGGATATTATTTAAGTTTGAGTTGTGGTATTTTTAAACAAATTTAATAAAAAAATATTAAATTGTTGGTTAAATGTAAACCCAATTATTTATATACAAAACAATGCAATTCATTGTCTATAATGTGTTGTGGTTCCCGAATAATCACCCAAAGAGATTGTGGCTAAATTTGATTAACAAATTATGTCCCCAATAAATTCCCAAATCAATTTTTAATGATTTATAATTTTTATGTATTAAACTAAAAGCAGTTAACTATTAAATTTTGTTTCCAATATACAGTACATTAAAAAAAGTAATAATTACCACGTAGATAATCGTTTGTCATAACAGGCATATGCATGGGATTTATTTCTTGATACTTATTGGCTGTCGTCGTCTTTCCGGTTATCCTATTCTCTGGTTTGGGTTTCCATTCACTCTTCCAATCAAATGAATTGTCGTCTTCTCTATCGTTAAATCTATTCATCCATTTCTGTGGCCTCTCTTTTGTTTGGCTTATCCTTAGGTTTCTTAGTCTTTCATTTGATTTCCTTTTCTTGGCTCTTGTTTTACGCCAAACGTTGCGATCGCTATCCGTTTCAATTGATGTATCAGTCATGGTATCGGTGTTTGCAGCGCAGCCCACGTTCGCCACATCTTTACCATCATTTCTATGGCTCTCTATTTGAGACAACTTTTATATATAATTATAGAAATATTGCGTTTATATGTTATAAAGACTATAAATACCTGATTATAGACATTGTGTTGGCGTTCGCGCGGTCGCCAGTAATCCCACGTAGACTTCTGGATGGGGTAGTGATGCGACTCATAGTCTACTTCATCTAAATTCAGATCCAAATCCAAATTCAAACCATTTCTGAGTCCCAAATCAAAACCGTCACTGATTTGAACGATTAATGTAAATAAAATGCATAACAAATACATTAATATGGTTTTTATCATTATTTCTGTATTTATTGTTTACTAATGATTTTATTTTAATTAAGTAGTAATTAAAAACATTGAGTTGCGCTAAAAGTTTCTCATTTTAATATATTTTAATTAGAAGTTAATTTAAATAATTTTTAATATATGCTACAGTATTACTAATGGCCTATTAAGTGCACTTCGTGTAATTATTTAACCGGTTATATTTAAATCTCTCAAAATTAATTAAACCAATTTATATATTTATTTTTTTTATTAGTTTAAGACCAAGTAATTTAGGCTAAAAGTGTTAACTAAACAATAAATAGCATTTTTGAGCAAATGTTATAAATTATAAATTGCTTACATTTGACAGCGTTTAGGATTTACACATATGAGTAAAAACTGTCATTAGTTTACATTAAAGCTAATGGACCATTGTGGTCATTTAACACTCCTATTTAAACACAATTCAATTCATAAAACAATTCATAAAACAGCAATTATAACAATTAGTTACTAATACATTATTTATAAATTAATAATTCTTTAACTTTTATTCATCACAAAATTACAATATAAATAAATGTTACATGAAAACAAATGAAAACATATTTCTAATTGCAAAAATACATAACTAAATTAATTGAACTTTATTGATGCAACATTTAGTGTGTTGCACCATTTTCAAACCATTTTATCAAAACGACGTTTACTAAGCTTGCGACCTGACTTGGGCGCAGTAGGTTCGGGGACAGCGCCCCCACCGGCGGGTATCGGCGGCGCGTTGTTTATCGCATTTTTCTCAGTTGTAGTCGTAGTGGCAATAGTGTCGGTAGTGATGGCGGCGCTAGTGATGGCTGCGGTGGCGGCAATGGGGACAGTGGTCGGCACCGCCGGCACGTGTGCATTGATAGTGATGGCTCCGTTACCATCATGAGTGGAGTCGTGGTTCAATTCAGCGTCAATTTCGTCCAACAAATGACCAAGACGGTTTTTATCGGTCACTAGCTTATCCAACTTTTGATGTATTTGTTTGCGTTCATTCATATTAATTGTCAAACACAATAATTATAACAACTATATACCATATCTACATGTTTTACATTATTTACCATCATAAATAGTTGTTTGTTGATGTTTTATAAGGTGATGTTATAATCACATTACTTAAACCCTCAACTTAATGGAAATAATTAAAGTAAAACATGTAGAATAACGTAGTTATAGGGCATCGCCTATACACGTATACTATACTGTAAAACATGTATAAGTTTGTGGTGCGAGTGTTACCTTGTCCTGTATCCTTAAGGGCGAGACCATAGGCGTGAGTACATTGAGCAACAAATTGTCGATATCATGCTTGACTGGTGTGGACACGACTGCCGAGTACTTGGCGCGGATCCTATCCTTCAATTCATTCAAATGTTTGATTATATTATTGAATTCGTTGTCGTTTTCGGCCTTATTATGCATTTGTCTCTCGAATATAAAGTGTTTGATTTGATTCGACAAATCATTGAACTCTTCTTTACTCTTCTTTATCTCTTCGCTCTAAACATAGTATCAATGATTAGCGCAATCAGAGCACAGCATCGCAACTATACAAACTATTTTACCGGTTAATAGCAATAGCATAAGAGTTAGTATATGCACCGATCATGCCATTTAACACATTTTTAGTTTAACTAAATTTACAAATAACTATTCAATATTTAACTCTATAAATAACTAAATGTGACTATTTGACCTAGATAATCAAAATTTCAATGAATTGATGGCCAGAAATATACATAAAAACTTGACAAATCATAGAATGAATTACATTCTAGAAGATCCTGAACACAGAATCAATATATTTCAATAGAAATATAATTACAACCAAATTATTACGTATATTATAGCGATTATAATGTATTCACACAAAGAATTGAGATATTGAACACATCTAATCACTCAAAATCAATCTAAAAGCATAATAAATTATGTTTTGTTTCAAAAATTGTATATAAATGTAATGTTAATATTATCATTAAATTAATAAATAATTTATGTATTTATAACCAGAATATAAATATTGTTTTACCCTTTTTAATAACTAGTAACTACACTAAAAATAACAGTAGTAACTACTTGGGGTATAACTTAAACCCTATTGTGCGGTGCATGTAATGAGTGATTAAATTAAGACATGAATGCAATAATGGATTGATTCAAACCAGCGCTGCTGTGTTGTGGGCGTCTGTTGTGGTGGCGGACGGGAACATATCCATCTTCGCCTGATGGGCCACTGGACTCGAATTGATCACGTGTTGGCTCGAGTTGTCGGGCGCCGGTGCGGGTCCGCCGAAGAACATGTTCAAAACGGTCTGATGGTTCGGGTCCACTGTTGGCCCGGCCTTTGGCGGCGCCGGTGTTGTGGCGTTTGATTGTTGCGCAGGAATGACATGTCCGGTACCGTTTGCCGGCGCGGGTCCGCCGAATAACATGTTCAAAATGGTTTGTTGTTTCGGGTCCAGTGTTGACGTGGCGTTTGCCGGCGCGGGTACGCCGAACAACATGTTCAAAATGATTTGCTGGTTCGGGTCAAGTGTTGTCGTGGCGTTTGGCGGCGCGGGTCCGCCAAATAACAGGTTCAAAATGGTTTGTTGTTTCGGGTCAAGTGTTGACGTGGCGTTTGGCGGCGCGGGTCCGCCAAATAACAGGTTCAAAATAGTTTGCTGGTTCGGGTCCAGTGTTGTCGTGCCGTTTGCCGGCGCGGGTCCGCCGAATAACATGTTCAAAATAGTTTGCTGTGTCGGGTCCAGTGTTGACGTGGCGTTTGCCGGCGGGTGTCCGCCAAATAACAGGTTCAATACGGTCTGGTGTTTCGGGTCCAGTGTTGTCGTCACTTTTTGCGGCGCCGGTGTTGTTGTGATTGTTTGTTGTGAGGGCGCGACTTCGCCGAAGAATAGATTCAAAATCATCTTGGTCTGTGCGGCCACAGCCGACGATTTAATGACACTGCCGGCGTCGAGGGCGGGCGCCGGGCCGCCGAAGAACATGTTGAGCATTGCCGGGTGATTGGGATCCGCTGTAGGGCCCGCGTTGTGCGGCGCCGGTGTTGTTGTGACAGTTTGTTGTGTGGGTCCAAACATACTCATCTTCGCCTGTGCGGCGACGGCCGACGATTTTATGACACTTCCGGCGTCGAGGGCGGGCGCGGGGCCGCCAAAGAACATGTTGGACATTGCCGGGTGATTGGGATCCGCCTTAGACGCATTGGTGTGGTGTGCGGTGGTGTGGGCCGCGGGTGTCGTGGAGTGGGCAGTGGTTGTTGTGGCGGTCAGTGCTTTCATGTTGACGGGACCAAACATCTCCATCTTGGACTGCGAGGCCACGGGAGTAGACTTAATAACATGTGCGGTGCCATTGGGTGGCGCCGGACCGCCGAAGAACATGTTGAGCACTAAGGCGTGTTTCGGGTCGATTGTTGTGGATATATGTGGTGCCGGTGTTGTTGTGATGCCCTGTTGTGTATTGTTGGCCGCGACACTCATTTTCAATGTTTTGTCCGCTGAGTGGTCAGTGTTGTTGTGCGCGGGTGTGGTCTGGGATGTGGTCTGGGGTGCATATGTGGTGACCACCGGCGCAACAGATGTTTGTTTAGAAATGTCGTTATTTCCCGAATCGATGAGCGCTTTGGACTCATTTTGGATCAATTGTTTGAGTTCTGTGAGCGTCGGTCCCGAAGTCTTGGACCGATTGGACGCTTTGCCCCGAATATCGTCGACTTCATGCGCGTGACTCACACTTTGGATCAATTGCTGTGACTCTTGAGCGATCACCGATCGAATGTCTTCGAACGCCGAACCCTTCGGCTTATGTGCGGACGCCTTAGTGGTCACACTTTGGCCACTGTTTGCGGCCGTTTGTTGTGAGGCGGGTGTGGTTTGGGGTGCAGTTGTTGTCTATACAAAAAGACATTGCATTCGTTAAATAATAGTCACAACTTGTGGTCAATTATGTCACAACAATTGATCCAAAGCTTGGGCCACGCGTACGAAGTGGACGAGAATCGGAGCGACGCTCACGGAATCTAAAACAAGTGATCGCTTCCGGTGTCCAAAGCGCTCATCAATTGTGGTAAACATTGTTTGACAATCACTTACTGTTGGCGACGACTGAGGAATTTGGGCCAAACATTGAATGTCTCCCTCGAGATCATCGAACTCTTCCTCCAAAGCTCTCTCATTCTTAATCAATTGCTCGACCTTTTGGGCCATTAATTAAAAGTAAATGAATGACAACCAAAAGGGATGAAGTGATGCATACCTTTCCTTTGAGAGGTGGGGGAACATTGGCCACATTTATGGGCACTTCTGTTGTGGTCTGGGTGTGTGGCGCCGGCTTCACAACGCTTGCGAACATCTCTTTGGGATAATTCTTCTTCAGTTGGTCTCTAATTTGGGTGACGTTGGCGTTGAGCCGATCCAAGAGGTCGGCCTCCAATTGGGCGTTATCTTTGTTATGGCTAATGTCCTTGATTTTTGCGACCAAGTTCTTAATGTCCTGTCGCTCTTTCTCCAGTCCACTCAACTGGTGGTCACAATTAGATAAAATGCCAGTAAATATGATATTCATTGACCCAAATTTTGATGACAATTGAAATTTAATACAATTTTAATTAATTTCCAACAAAATGAAAGCCATTTTCATACCATTTGGTTGATAGCTGGCGGACCTTCAGGAGACTTATTGGGGGCCGCATTAGTGCCCGACTGGTCGACGGGAATACTGTGAACATAATTGACAATTATGTATAACTGGTAACAGATAATAATCGATCTCATATTCTTTGGGACAGAGATTTGTCTGACAAATATAATTGTTTTTAGGAAATATGTTCACTAATGAAAACTAATTAATTAATTAATTTTTAATTAAACAGTTTCAGTCGTCACTAAAATATAATTAATAATTTCCTGCTTAAAAATATAGTTTAATTAATTTTTTCGCAACTTATAAAATCAAATATAAAATCTATTGTTAAGTAATTTTTCTAACATTTTTAACAACTTTTAGTTTCAAAATTAGATATAAATGTTTGTTGCCTTACATTCTGAATGTGATAATAATTTTATAAATATGTTTATTAAATTGCATACATTTATTAATGAAATGATATTTCATGAGGTTTATAGATTCAGTCGGCCACCCCTGTATGGGAAATAACATGGAATTGCATGTTAATCCTATGACATAAACTTAACATGGGACTAATGTATAGCAAAAATATTTATATTATATTTTTATATTATATTTTTATTGTAAAAATTGATTTAAAACTAAATAAAGTTTGTTTTCTGAATATAAAAATTTTTAATAAATAAACAAAGGAATAAAATTGACGTTAAAATCGCTCCATAATTGCCTTTTTCATCCATAATTGGTGTCTAATTTAAAACTGGCCTAAAATTAATAAAAACTTTACGTTAAATACAAATGTATATTAAATGAACAAAACACTATAAAAAGTAACAATATTGATGATTAACATGGTCATTAAACGCTAGAATGAATGAATACCTTATGATAAGAGAAAACTATCGTCACTTTGTTCGGCTTCGTTTGATTGGTCGACATTCAAAACCGTTCTTTTCATAAATTGTCTTAATTTGTTGAATTGTGGAACCGATTGTGCGACCGGTGTTGCAGATGTTGTTGAAGTAGTCGTTGTCGTTGTAGTCGGACTGTCCGCCAATTGATTCGTTTCTGATTTACTATCAGTTATAACCTGATTGTAAGGATCGACAGATTTATTAGTGGTAACAATTGATTTGGTGTTGTGTTGACTCCGAAAAAGGTTACGACGGGATTGCATAGCGTTTAAGAGACCGCCTTCAGAATCAGGGGTAGGGCTGAGCCCTCGTCTCGCTGACGATTTTTTAAATTTCAATTGTCTGTTGTGTTCATTCGTGGTGTGAATGTCTCCTTTGCCGTCATTCTTGCCAATAGTTTCCATCACTTTCTCGCCCAAAATAACGGATTCATTGATCATTTTATTTCCCATAGATTTGAGTTTACTTTTCAGTTGATTCCAACGTCCACTCGAAGCCGAATCACTCGAAGTCGAATCACTCGAAGCCAAATCACTCGAAGCCGAATGACTGGAAGCCGAGTGACTGGAAGCCGAAGAATTCACACCATTTGTTTCAATCGTTTCCGGAGATATCGATTCAACCGATGGTTTCTCTGATAGAGAGGACGACGACGAAGACACTTCGAGAACAGATCCCACACTACGACCATTGGTGCCATTCATTGCGTTATTGCCATAAATTTTATTAAACTCTCGCATACTATCCTTAAGAAACTTGTTGTAATTTTGCAAATCATTGAAACGACTAGAATTTGTCACTTGTATATCACGAGTCATTTCCTCCGATTCCGATGACTGTGTGGCCAATCCATTGGCCGCGTCTGCGGACTTGACTCGAGACGATTGTCCCATATTATTGTCGGACGAAACAAAAGTGTGGTTTAATGAGTCCAGTATTTGATGTGCGATCTCTTCCGATTGGTTCGTCAAACGGCTCTTCATATTCGACAGCCGTTTCTTAAGGAATTCATTCAAACGAAGCTTGTATTCACTCGATTCGGTCACTACTGAACCATTTATTGTCAACGAATCAACTTTTGATTGTGTGTTTGTGTCGTGAGAATTGTCGCCTAATTTTGTGCCCAATTCAACCGATATATGACTTTTTATATCCGTTTGTTTGTCTTTATTGACATCATTTGCATGAGTGGTAGCGTCGCTCTCGTGGTGTGGCATCTGTTGGTCGTGTCCTTTGACATCGACTGATAACTGGTTATGCATTTCATTACTTGCATTACTAGTGTTGTCATCGTTTTGATGTGAAGTTCGTTTTCGCGACCATTTCCTTCTCAAACCTTCCGCCGATGTCTTCTGCTCTTGTGTTTTGTGTCTTCTTAATGATTGTGCGGACACAGACTTATGGACGGATTGTTTGGCCTCCGTTTGTAGTGACTGTGATGTCTGTGGCGTCGCCACCGTTTCTGTTGCCCAATGACTGGAAGCCGAAGAATTCATACCATTTGTTTCAACCGTTTCCGGAGATATCGATTCAACCGATGGTTTCTCTGATAGTGAGGACGACGACGAAGACGAAGACACTTCAAGAACGGATCCCACACTACGACCATTGGTGCCATTCATTGCGTTATTGGCATAAATTTTATTAAACTCTCGGATACTATCCTTAAGAAATTTGTTGTAATGACGCAAATGAGTGAAACGGATAGAATTGGTCACTTGTATATCACGAGTGGTTTCCCCCAATTCCGATGACTGTGTGGCCAATTCATCGGCAGCGTCTGTCGACTTGACTCGAGACGATTGTCCCATATTATTGTCGGACGAAACAAAAGTGTGGTTTAATGAGTCCAATATTTGATGTGCGATCTCTTCCGATTGGTTCGTCAAACGGCTCCTCATCTTCAGCAGCCGTTTCTTAATAAATTCATTCAAACGAAGCTTGTATTCGCTCGAATCGATCACTACTGACCCATTTATTGTCAACCAATCAACGTTTGATTGTGTGTTTGGGTCGTGAGAATTGTCACCTGATTTTGTGCCCAATTCAACCGATAAATGACTTTTTAGATCCGATTCTTTATTAACATCATTTGCATGAGTGGTAGCGTTGCTCTCGTGGTGTGGTATCTGTTGGTCGTACTCTTTGACATCGACTGATAACTGTTTCATCTGATTATGCATTTCATTACTTGCATTACTAGTGTTGTCATCGTTTTGATGGGAAACTCGTTTTCGCGACCATTTCCTCCTCAAACCTTTGGTCGCTGTCTTCTGCTCTTGTGTTGTGTGTCTTCTTCTTAATGATTGTGCGAACACAGACTTGTGGACGGATTGTTTGGCCGACGTTTCTGCGGTATTAGCGTCCGTTTCAAACAATTTTGCGGTCATTTGTAGTAACTGTGATGTCTCTGTCGTCGCCACCCCTTCTGTTGTTAAATGTTTCTCTTCTAATGCATTAGTTGTAGTCATAGCCGATATTTTGGTCTCTTTTTCAATATTTGTTGTCTCAGTAGAAATGTCGTCAGAATTAGTGTTCAATTCTATAGTTTTCGATGATTTACTTAAAATCTCTGCTAATTTGGTATTTGTTTGCAAAGGAGTGGTCGATATATCGATTCCTTTAGAGTTATGATTCACTTCAGAAGTCATTGTCGTATTATTGGTTAAATGAACGAAGAATTCATTGTTTATTTCTCTCATCAAGTCTTCAAACCCAATGTTTTCTGTCTTTGAATTTTGAATCAAAGCTTCTGTTATTTTATTCGTTCTTTGAGTCAAATCTACTTCTGAATCACTAGATTTCTCAATTGATTCTGTGGTAACTTCTTCGGCCTTAATTGATAGAGTGGTCGATGTCTCCATCACTTCGTTATAATTGGTTGTTATAGTTTTTGATGAAGTTTTGTGGGAACCGACCGCTGATTCACTCCGTGTTTTTGTCTCTTCGTTTGTGTCAAACTGTTGTTCAAATTCTTCAGTTTTCTTCCTTAATCTGTTACTCCATAAACCAATTCTTGGTTTGGAGTTAATTGTCTTAAGAGGTTTAGCCAACAATCCAATGGTTCCAGTGGTCGAAGTTTGATCTCCAAGTGTTGTCATTGAAGTGGTCTCAGGTTTAGGAGTCACTGTTGATGTAGTTGTCGACTCAATTAACTCAGTATTCAATGATTTACTAATTGACAAAGTGGTCAAATGATGTTCAGATTCAGTAATAATTAATGGTTTAATCGGTGTCTCAATTGCGTGAATATTGATATTTCTCGCAGAAGTCTTTGCCGAACGAATGGCTGAATTTACACGCATTTCATTGTGTTTCTCCTGTGCTCTTACAAACTCATCTCTCATAGCCTTTGTCTTCGCTCTTCTCTTCAATAAATTTAACATTAATTTTGATTGAATGAACTTTTCATTACTGTTTGTCGTTTCAATGTCTAACGTATCGGTTTTGGTGTCACTTTTTGTTGGTGTAATTGTTGTATCAACTGATTCTGTGGTCAATGGTGTACTAATTGACAAAGTGGTCAAATGGTCTTCAGATTCAATTGCATGGATATTGATATCTCTCGCGGAAGTCATTGCCGAACGAATGCCTGAATTTACATGCATTTCATTGTGTGTCTCCTCTTTTCCAAACTCGTAATTTATAGCCTTTGTCTTCGATCTTCTCTTCAATAAATTTGACATTAATTTTGATTGAATTATCTCTTCATTACTAGTTGTCGTTTCAATGTCTGACGTATCGGTTTTGGTGTCACTTTTTATTGGTATTGACACAATTGTTGTGTCAATTGATTCTGTGGTCAATGGTGTGTCTATTGATGGTGCGGTTGAATGATCGGCAAACATACTATCATCGGTGGTCACAACAGGCGATGGGGCGGTCGTTAGCGTCAATTCCTGTAGTTTAGTATCAGATTCGGTGACAATGTAATCAATTTCTATTGATTTAGTTCTCAAACGTTTGGATTTATTAGTCGCACACTTGTTATTAGGTTTGGAGGGTATGGGCGGCGGACAAGTGGTGGCCTTCATTCGGGAGATCTCCTCTTCATAACTGTTTAGCTGTGATTTCAATGTTAGGATCATTTGCTTGAGTCGTAACACTTCATTGTTTTCTGATTTCTCTGTGAACATCGAGTTTAAAACAAAGCTTTGTTTAATTCACTCAACATTTTGGTGTCAAATATATTAATGTTGTCAACAAAACACATACCACTCATCGGAATAATGACCGGTTTATCGGCCACTTTCGGGTCTCGTCTCTTCATTTTCATATTTAAATCCATTTCCTTTTTTGGACACAAAATAAATACAATTACGAATTGAATCAACAATTTTGCGGATTATTTGCAATTTTGCAAACAAAGACAATACCAAACGTTTGGGAACCGGTGTATAAGTGATATCAAATCCCAAGCCTTTTATATCCATAGTAAACGGCTTTATAGTTATCTCAAACTCTTTGTGAGGGATATGTAAACCAGGTTTTCTCGGTGTCATCTGTCGTGCCATTGAATCCAAAGTTAAACAACAAAAAACAGATTATAAATCGGCAAAGAAGTGAAGTATCGGGTCATCAGAGGTAAAAGTGATTACCCTATTGTAGTTGAGAGTGAATGGGTTGGGAGGGCTGACAGTGACCACAACCGTCGGAGGCGTAAACCTAGTGATAGGATTTATAGTGAAGTCAGGGATGGGTTTGATAGTGAAGTCAAACCCATTAAACCGTTTGATTCCCGGGAAGTCGTCATCGAAGTCGGGCTGCGGTCGACACCACACACCCCTCGGACCGGACACTGACCACAGACTCCACACCACCAATGCCTGCGCCAAACACAGCCAATACAATGACATTTCAGCAAAAACTCTTGAAAAGTTGTTGTGTTTGTAATGCAAACCCAATTAATGGCATTTAATTATCATTTTGTACAACATTTTGAAAGCAAATACTTTTTACAATTTTTTAGTAATAAGTTTTTTGCGCACATAATGTGTAAAATACGGATTCAATTGATTGATTGATTCCGTCACTGAGTCTAACATCAGATGGCTTTGAAAGAGGCGCTCCTTTTATTGCTTTTCAAGTGTTGCGTGAGTCGAACGTATCGGTTGTCATGACAACACCAAACAACATATATTGCACAATTGTGAAAATACAGACTATACACGATAATGTGTTTTCATACTTATCAAATAACTAATTTAATAATCAATAAAATTGAATGTAATTTAATTAATATTATAATAAACTTATATTAAAAGAGGATTGCAATTGAAACCCACTATTAAATACTGATATAATAACACTATTGTGTAATAGTTGTGTTACCAATAGCTATGATAAACTGTACATAACATCCAACACAACAGTATTACCGCTAAAAAGAGTTTGTTTTGAATTATTGCCAAAATTGTGGCACAAATTGTGGACACATTTGTAGTGAAGTATCCGTTAGAGTGAAGACAAACAGCACTTCAGACAATACAAGACATCAGTTGTGACCACAGATTGTGTCCATCAGTTGTGACCATAGATTGTGTCCATCAGTTGTGACCACAGATTGTGTCCATCAGTTGTGTGGTTTAATGAGTCCAATATTTGATGTGCGATCTCTTCCGATTGGTTCGAATATAAGGCCAAAAAGTTGGGCAAAAGTGTTGTACTGATAGAGTCGGGTCGACATCTCGGAGGCGTCACATCGGGTGGACTCGGATTCACCGATTATGGAGACAAGTCTGCGATCATTGGTTTAGCCGAAGATTTTTATCACAGAATTGGTGTAAAATACGGCAAAACGACCGAAACGTATACTTTTGAACCACACGTCGCGGAAGTGGTCTATAATTCATACATAACTGAAGCAAATGTTAGCGTTTTCTTTGACTACAGAATTATTTCGGCAAAAATTGTCGACAAAAAAGTCGAGTCAATAGTTGTCGAGAAATCAAGTGATTCTCAGATCAGCACTAATGTTGTCATTACGGCTAAAATGTTTATCGATTGCAGTTATGAGGGGGACCTCATGTCCAGAGCCAACATCTCATATACTTTTGGTAATTGTTTGCAATAAATCTCATTAAATAATTAAATTGATGTCTTATTAGGTCGAGAATCAAATGCATTGCACAACGAAACACATAATGGCGTTCAGATGCTAACCAAACACCAGTTTCCCGATGGTATCGATCCGTATGTAATTCCTGGCAACAAATCGAGTGGTCTTTTGTGGGGCATAAGTGATGAGACACTCGCCAGACAGGGATCGGGAGATAAGAAGATTCAGTCATTTAATTACAGGATATGTCTGACAAACAACAAAACCAATCGCATAGACATCACAAAACCCGATAACTATAATCCCCAACACTTCCAACTCCTGATCCGTTTGATTGAAAAAACAAAACCGAAATCAATGCGAAGTTTTCTAAAACAAGATCTAATGCCTAATCACAAGACAGACTTCAATAATGAGGGACCGTTTAGTACAGACGCCATTGCAATGAATTATGAATATCCGGACGGATCTTATGAGACGAGAAAAAAGATCGTTAAACAACACGAAGACTACAACAAAGGATTCTTGTATTTCGTTGGACACGACCCTCAAGTGCCCCAACACTTAAGGGATGAGATGTTGACGTGGGGTTACCCTAAGGACGAGTACAAAGACAACAACCATTGGACGCATCAGTTGTATATCCGAGAGTCGCGGCGAATGAGTGGTCAGTATTTAATGACTGAGAGGAATGCTTTGGGAACAGATGTGGTCACTGATGGTATAGCTATGGCATCGTATAGAATGGACTCACATAACGCTGAAAGGGTTGTTGTGAACGGAATGGTCAAAAATGAAGGCGACGTTCAGTGGCCTCAGAACTACCCGCACCCGTATCCGGTGTCCTATGGATCAGTAGTGCCGAAGTCGAGCGAATGTCACAATGTTTTAGTGCCGGTGTGTCTGTCGGCCACTCATATAGCGTACGGATCCATACGAATGGAGTACACATTCATGGAGTTGGGAGAGGCCTCAGCCGTCGCCGCAGTCATGGCTCTCGAGGCCAACACTTCCGTACAAGAAGTCGACACAAAAGCATTGAAAGAAAAACTCAATATTAAATAACTGATACAAAGTTAGAAACATATTATTAACTTAAAAATAACATTTAAAATACAATTTACATAAAAATAATTGACAAATAATGTAATAAATGACTGAATAATTAAATCGTTAAAAAGTTAAATATTTAGTAAAAACAATAAATTCATAACTGAAGAAACTGAACCAGTCGAAGCCCATGTTACTTCATGAGCTGCTTTGTCACGAGCTGTAGGTTCACCAGCTGCTCAAACTGGTATTTGACTTCCGAGTCGTGAGGAAGTAGCAGCCATGCCTGGCTGTCAAACCTGCAATGGATGAGTGCTTTGAGTGTAAACTTCATTAACGACATCCTATATCTGTGGCACACATTCTTCGAGTGCAGGAACTGCTCGACGAAATTGCTGTTCCGATGGATGCGATGGTTGACTCGCGCCCTCTCACTCTCTGTGGACCACTGGACGTGTGGTTCCGTCTCATTGATCGACAGCTCTATGTATTCGCTGCTGAGGTCCGCGTGTTTCCAGAAGTCGACAATCGGTTCCACACTTAGTATCACTTTATTCACCGACGAATTCATGTTGAATATCATCAGCTCTTCCACGGCATAGGTCTTCACGTATGCCTTCGTTTCGGTCGTCTCTTCGCGGAATTGGAGCCGTATTTTGTCCGAAGAGGTGTTGTATTGGATCTTCAATATGTTGTCCGACAGTTGTCCGGATCGAGCGCTTCGAGCAGTGGATCCCAAGAGTGACAACACGTGTATGAGGTCTGAGAGCCGGAAGCAGACGCTGACCGGCATCTCCTCCGAAGACATGTGATATCGGGTGAAAAGCGAGCGATCGATGAAACTGTTGGCCTGAAGACAGAGGCCTGTGTCCTGACACGTGAGCTTCAGTCCTCTGGAAGTGATGGCCATAACTGTGGTCTTCATTATGTGAATCGATCGCAACATTGCTATCAATTTCTTCGGATCGCAAATCTCGGCCTCAAAGCGGAACTCATCGTCCGATTCGCTCGACATATCACTGATGGACACAATCTGTGGTCACAACTGATGATTATGTGAATCGATCGCAACATTGCTATCAATTTCTTCGGATCGCAAATCTCGGCCTCAAAGCGGAACTCATCGTCCGATTCGCTCGACATATCACTGATGGACACAATCTGTGGTCACAACTGATGGACACAATCTGTGGTCACAACTGATGGACACAATCTGTGGTCACAACTGATGGACACAATCTGTGGTCACAACTGATGTGTTGTCTTCACTCTAACGGATACTTCACTACAAATGTGTCCACAATTTGTGTCACAATTTTGGCAATAATTCAAAACAAACTCTTTTTAGCGGTAATACTGTTGTGTTTGCCATTATGTACAGTCTATCATAGCTATTGGTAACAAAACTTATATTACACAATAGTGTTATTATATCAGTATTTAATTGTGGTATTCAATTACAATCCTATTGTAATATAAATTAGTTATAAAATTAATTAAATTACACTAAATTTTACTGATTATTAAATTAATTATTTAATAATTATGAAAACACATAATCGTGTATAGTCTGTATATTTACAATTGTACAGTACATGTAGTGTTTGGTGTTGTCGTGACAACCGATACGTTCGACTCAAGCCGTGAAGACAACAGCATTGATGAGAGAGTTGTCGTAATTTATGACTCAATGACTTAACAATTATTGTTTTGTTTGATTGAGTGTTGAAGACGTGAACTGAAGACTAAACAAGAGATCAATTGATTGATTAAGTGATGAGCGAAGAGTTGGATGAGACGATCGGCGATCAGTCGGTGTCGGTCGGGAACGGGACGGACGTCGGGGTCGGGAATGGCGTGAATGGTGTGCCAAACGGCACCTCAGGTGACAAAGAGAAGACATTTGTGCTGAAGAAGTGGAACTGCTGTGCGATGTGGTCGTGGGATTGCGAGTGCGACACGTGTGCCATATGTCGGGTGCAAGTGATGGACGCGTGTCT